AGTCTATTTCCTTGGGTTGGGGCCTTCTCAGTATTGTCCCTTTTGTGGTTCATGAGAAAGATGTTACCAGACCCCACCACTTACCCAAAGTTAGCCTTTGGGTTGGGGTTTCTGCACTATAGTCCCTTCTGTGGTTACCAGAAATATGTTACAGGAAAGGGGTCTCGATCTAGATCCCAATAGAGGGTTCTTGGATATCGCACAAGAAGAATTTAGGGCAAGTCTGCAGTGCAAAGTGAAAGTAAGTTTATTAAGAAAGTAAAGCAATGAAAGAATAGCTATTCCCTAGACAGAGCAACCCCCAGAGCTGCTGGTTGCCCATTTTTATGCTTATTTTTTGATAATATGTTAAATAAGGGGTAGATTATTCATGCTCCCCTTTTTAGACCATATAGAGTAACTTCTTGACATTGCCAGGGCATTTGTAAACTGTCATGGTGCTGGTGGGAGTGTAACAGTGAGAATGAGCAGAGGTCACTCTCGTCACCATTTTGGTCTTGGTGGGTTTTGACCAGCTCCTTTACGGCAACCGGTTTTATCAGCAAAGTCTTTATGATCTGTATTTTGTGCTGACCTCCTATCTCGTCCTGTGATTTAGAATGCCTTAACTGTCTGGAAATGCAGCCCAGTAGGTTTCAGCCTTATTTTATACAGCTCCTATTCAAGATGGAGTTGCTGTGGTTCACACGCCTCTGATGGAAGGGATGGGAGAAGCACATTCCAGGCACTGGGGAAGATGCCAGCAAAAGAAGTATGTTAACTGCATGACCTGCTCAGGCTAGGACAGGTTGTCTACTGTAAGAAAAAAACTTGGTGTGATAAAAAAGGCAACAGACATCTTTAATAATGAGTGGTGGGGAAAACTGGGTTGAGGGAGAACTGGAGAGTGTCTGCCTGTCTAAAATAGTAGCTGCAACTCAGCACCAGATGATTACGGCTGAGAATAAGACTAGTGATTACTTTCATCTTTCCTTCCTAGAGGAACTGGGAATATTAAATTTTAAAATGTGATTTTGCTGAGGTCTAAATGTTAGTGTCCCCCCACCCCCAAATTCCCATGTTAAAATCCTAACTCCATAAGTTGATGTTATTAGGAGGTAGGACATTTGGGAAGTGATTAGGTCATGAGGGTAGAGTCTTCATGAATGGTATTAGTGCCCTCATTTAAAAATATTAGCCGGGCATGGTGGCTTATGCCTATAATCCCAGCCACTTGGGAGCTGAGGCAGGAGAATTGCTTGAACCAGGGAGGTGGAGGTTGCAATGAGCCAAGATTGTGCCACTGCTCCAGCCTGGGTGACAGAGCGAGACACTGTCTCAAAAAAAAAAAAAAAAAACCAACAAAAAACCCCCACAAGAAACAAAAAAACAAAAACAAACCCCAGAGTTCCGTTGCCCCTTTTACCATGTGAGCACACAGTGAGTAGGTGTGAACCACTGAAGCTGCCATGCAGCAAGAAAGACCATGCCAAATGCAGGCCCTTTTCCAGAACTCCCAGCTTCCAGAACTGTGAGAAATAAATTTCTGTGGCCAGGCCTGGTGCCTCACACCTGTAGTCCCAGCACTTTGGGAGTCTGAGGCAGGAGAATCACATGAGGTCAGGAGTTTGAGACCAGCCTGGCCAACAGTGTGAAACTCTATCTCTACTAAACCCCATCTCTACTAAAAATACAAAAGTTAGCCAGATGTGGTGGTGGGTGCCTCCATAAAAAAAAAGAAAGAAGAAAGAAAGAAAACCTCATGGCCTAATCACCTTTTTACAGTCCCACCCCTTAATAACATCACAATGACAATTAAATTTCAACATTTTTTTTTTTGTGGTGTGGAGGGTGGACATTCACACCATGGCAGCTACCAAAGGGAACAAGCAGGTGGCATTTTTTTTCTCATTACTCCACCTTTTTTCTTCAAATATTGAAATGATGGCTAGAGCTTCAGCAACCATATTGGGCCAAGAGGCAGCCTTAAGAATGGAAGCTGCATTAGTCAGCTCAGGCTGCTATGACAAAATGTACCAGACTGGGTGGCTCAAACCACAGGAATCTATTTTCTCACAGTCCTGGAGGCTGGAAGTGGATCCAAGAGCAAAGTGCTGGCAGGGCTGGTTTCTTCTGCATCCTCTCTCCTTGACTTGCAGCTGCCCACCTCCATTGCATCCTCACATGGTCTTTCTTCTGTGCACAACTCTAGCATCTCTTTGGTGTCCAAATTTCCTCTTCTTACAAGAACACCAGTCAGATTGGACTAGGACCTACCCTAAAGGCCTCATTTTAACGTAATCACCCATTTAAAGGCATTGTCTCCAAATACCTTCACATTCTGAGGGATGGTGGTGGGGGTTAGAGTTTTAACATAAATCTGGGGGAGACACAATTCAGTCCATAATAAGAGAAGATCAAGAACTTTCATTTTTTTTCTGAAAGGAAGTTGAGAACTGTGTGCAGAAGGTTCCATCACAATTAGAAGCCCTGGGTTCTCTGTTCTAAGCTATTGTATGGCCTTCCAGTGAGACTTAGAGATAATCAGGTAAACCTCTCAGATTTTTTTTTTATTTGTAAAATGGAAGTAATAATACCTAACTTATTTATCTTACAGCATTTGGTGAAGACCAAATAAAATAATAAACATGAAAATGTTTTGAAAAATATGAATTGGCCGGGCATGCTGGCTCACACCTGTAATCCCAGCACTTTGGGAGGCCAAAGTGGGTGGACCACAAGGTCAGGAGTTTGAGACCAGCCTGGCCAACATGGTGAAACTCCGTCTCTACTAAAAAAAATACAAAAATTAACTAGGTATGGTGGTGGGCACCTGTAATCCCAACTACTTGGGAGGCTGAGGCAGGAGCATTGCTTGAACCTGAGAGGTGGAGGTTGTAGTGAGCCAAGACCGTGACAATGCACTCCAGTCTGGGTGACAGAGAGAAACTCTGTCTCAAAAGAAAAACATGAATTATCTATGTAAATATTCCTAAAGTCATTTGTTTACTTCCTTTGTCCTGTGTATCACATGTATTGTGATTTTTCTAAAACTTAGGGTTTTTTTTTTTTTTTAGACAGAGTTTTGCTCTTGTTACCCAGGCTGGAGTGCAATGGCGCGATCTCGGCTCACCACAACCTCCGCCTCCGGGGTTCAAGCAATTCTCCTGCCTCAGCCTCCTGAGTAGCTGGGACTACAGGCACAGGCCACCATGCCCAGCTAATTTTTGTATTTTTAGTAGAGACGGGGTTTTACCTCGTCGACCAGGATGTTCTCGATCTCTTGACCTCGTGATCTACCCGCCTTGGCCTCCCAAAGTGCTGGGATTACAGGTGTGAGCCACCGTGCCCAGAAAAACTTAGGTTTTAAACAGTTGTTTATTTAAAACCCTTTTAATTAGAATCATAAATAAAAGCAACATAAAATAAATAGGAAAACAATATAACAATATTAAATACTAGCTCATTACTGTTAAGTGCTAAAACTTTGTCTCTCTGTTAAAAAGGAGACACAATTAGGGAAGATTTAAAGTCAAGCTAGTATCAAACAGAGACTTCAACTTTGAAAATATTAGAAGAGCTAAAAAAAGAAGATTGGAAAAGAAAGAACATTCTCATGGTTCAGTGAAATTTATTTATTTATTCAGAGACAGTGTCTCGCTCTGTTGCCCAGGCTAGAGTTCAGTGATGTGATCTCAGCTCATTGTAATATCCACCTCCTAGGTTCAAGCAATTCTAATGCCTCAGTCTCCTGAGTAGCTGGGATTACACACATGTACCACCAGGCCCAGCTCATTTTTTGTATTTTTAGTAGAGACAAGAATTCTCTATGTTGCCCAGGCTGGTCTCTAACTCCTGACCTCAGGTGATCTGCCCTCCTCAGCCTCCCAAAGTGCTGAGATTACAGACGTGAGCCACCTCATCTAGCCAAAATGTTATTTAAATATCATAGCTATGTGATATGGTTTGACTATGTCCCCACCCAAATCTCATCTTCAGCTGTAGCTCCCATAATCTCCATGTGTCATGGGAGGGACCCAGTGGGAGGTAATTAAATCATGGGGTGGGTTTTCCCATGCTGTTCTCGTGGTAGTGAATAAGTCTCATGAGATCTAATGGTTTTATAAGGGGCAGTTCCCCTGCTCTCTTGCCTGCCATCATGTAAGACGTGCCTTTGCTTCTCCTTCACCTTCTGCCAGGGTTGTAAGGCATCTCTAGCCATGTGGAACAGTGAGTCTATTAAATCTCTTTTTCTTATAAATTACCCAGTCTTGGATATTTCTTCATAGCAGTATGAAACTGGACTAATACACAATGTAAAATGCTCCCCTTAAAAAACATTGATGTATGAGAACATGTGATCCTATGGAGTGGTTTCCCCAGGGAAGTGAGGAAACCAACAGTTTGTGAACAGTTGTTTGTGCCAGACTCTGTGGGAACCCCTATTTCCCCTCATGGAGGCCTAATAATAACCAGTTGAGATGGGTGTTACTGTCTAGTTTTCACTTGGGAAAATGGGGGGTCAGGGTCTAGGTGACTGACTCAACATCACACAGATGCCAAGAGAAGGAGTCACTCAGAGGCAAGGTGAACTGAGGTGTGGGTGCACAGGCTCCAAACCCCATGGTCGCTCCCATCCCACTTTATAATGCCATGATCCAGGTTCTCCTTATGATATCTTTAAGGAATGCTGCCATTGTCCCTTTTTGAGATGTGGTCATCAGAAAAAGTCAGTACAGTGCATTGGTTGAGAATATGGTCTCGGGAACCAGACTGCCTCATATCAGCTGTGTGATTTTGGGCAAGTTACTTAATTTCTCTGTGCCCCAGACTCCTAAGGGATAATAATGGTGCCCATTTCAAACACTTGTTGTGAGGATTAAATGGGTTGATAATATGTCAAGTGTTTAGAGTATCGATGGCACATACTTTGCTCTATCTAAGTGTTAATATTATCCATGCTTTATATTGTGGCTACCATGTTATAGCTTGGGATAGAAGGCTCAATGCTCCATACTTGGTTATGAAGACAGCTTGCAAAGGCATCTCCTCTTCAAAGCATATTTTACATCTTTATTCCTCAGGCTGTAGATCAGAGGGTTCAGCATGGGGATGACCACAGTGTAGAAGACAGAGATGACCTTGTTGTTTTGTTCCATGGACTTGTGAGAGCTTGGCTGAGCATACATGAAGGTGATGGTGCCATAAAAAAGGCAGATGATGCTGAGGTGGGAGGCACAGGTGGAGAGAACTTTGCTCTGGGCCTCCAGTGAGCTCATCCGGCAAATGGTCACCAGGATGTAGGCATAGGAGACTAGGATAATGATGATGGAAAAGAGGATGAGCAAGGCACAAGATGAGAAGATAATGGTCTCGACCTCAGTAGTATCTGCACAGGCAAGATGGAGCACAGCGGGGATGTTACAGAAATAGTGATTAATGACATTGGGGCCACAGTAGGGCAGCTCTATCACCCAGTGAGCAAAGCTGAAATGGCAACAGAAACAGTATAGGAGGTCACCACCAGCAGCACACACAGACGTTGGGACATAGTAGTGTGATAGAGGAGAGGGTGGCAGACGGCAGTGAATCGGTCATAGGCCATGATGGCCAGGAGCAGACACTCAGCAGTACCATGGAGGGTCATGAGGGCCATCTGGACCACACAGCCTGCAAAGGAGATGGATTGGTTTGAGACAAGGAAGCTCTCCAGCAGCCTGGGGGTGTCCACCGTGGAAAAGGAGGAGTCTGTGAAAGAGAGGATGCTCAGGAAGAAGTACATGGGTGTGTGGAGCTGTGGGTCTGCGTGGATCAGGGTGATCATTCTCAGGTTGCCCACGACAGTGACTGAATATATGAACAGAAAGAGCACAAAGAAGATGCCTTTGAGGTCCTCCTGCTCTGTAAGTCCCAGCAGGCAGAACCAGGTGACTTGGGTGTGGTTCTCCACCATGGTGTGCATGTCACTGCAGAGAGACCAAATAAGACATGCATGTACCCTCGAGTTAGGGTCAGTACCCAAAGCTTTTTAAATATCCCCCAGACAGGCAGTGTAATGGGAAGAGGGAGAAAAACTACTAAGAACTGAACAGCTGGTATGAGCCACGTGTTAACTCATTTTTAAAGCAGCTATTGAAACCTCATACATACCTTGTGTTTAAATATTGTGTCCTTTTATATTTAATGAGATGATCAACTTATCTAAGGTCACAAAGCTAGTACATAAGAAAAGTGGAATTAGAACTCAGTCTAACCAGGCATAGTGGCTCACGACTGTAATCCCAGCACGTTGGGAGGCTGAGGTGGGTGGATCATCTGAGGTCAAGATTTCAAGACTAGCCTGGCCAACATGGTGAAACCCTGTCTCTAATAGAAATACAAAAAAAAAATTAGCTGGGTATGGTGGCACACACCTTAGTCCCAGCTACTGAAGAGGCTGAGGCAGGAGAATTGCGTGAACTGGGAGATGGAGGTTGCAGTGAGCCCAGATTGTGCCCCTGCACTATAGCCTGGGTGATAGAGTGAGACTCCATCTGAAAAAAAAAACCAAAAAAACAAAACGAAAACAAAAACTCACCCTGTTCTAGTAATTGTTGTATCCTTACTATGTTGTTAGAATCATTTTCTGTTCCCGAGTTTTCTGTTTTATAGGGAATCAGCATCTGCAGTGGTATCCGAGGCCTGGTCTGTTGCCTCAGAGAAGGAATAATTGAAAGGATAAGTGTGGGTCATACTTGGAAGCAAAGACTCCAATAGTGCTAGTCCCCTAGGCCTAAGATGTAGGAAATCAGATGCCTTGAGTCATTAGGATGTGCAGTGACTCAGCAGAGCAGTAATTTCTATGTGTTGTGTGTTGAATTGTAGCTTCCAAAAAGATATATTGAAATCCTAACCCCTGGTACCAGTGACTGTGAACTTGTTTGGAAGTAGGATCTTTGCAGATTTAATCAAGTTAATGTGAGGTCACACTTGATTAGGGTGAACCCTACTCTAACATGATTGATGTCATTATAAGAAAAGAAAACTGGCCAGGCACAGCGGCTCACTGCTCCGGGCAGAACGGCTCACTGCTCCAGGCCAGTTTTCTTTTCTTATAAATCCAGCACTTTGGGAGGCCAGGGTGGGCCAATCACTTGAAGTCAAGAGTTCAAGACTGGTCTGGCTAACATGGTAAAACCCTGTCTCTACATACAATATAAAAATCAGTCTGGCAGGGTGGCAGGCACTTATAATCCCAGCTACTTGAGAGGCTGAGGCAGGAGAATTGCTTGAACCCAGGAGGTGGAGGTTGCAGTGAGCCAATATTGTGCCATTGCACTCCAACCTGACTGTCTCAAAAAAAAAATAAAAAAATAAAAAAGGGAAAAGAAAACAGAGATATAGGAGGACAGCATCATGGGAAGAGACAGATGAGGGAAGATGGCCATGTGAAGCTGAAAGCAGGGATAGGAGTTAGGCTGCCATAAGTCAAGGAATGTCTGGGGCTTCCAGAAGCTGTCAGAGGCAAGGAAGGATCTAGAGGATACAGAGGGAGCATGGTCCTGCCACACCTTGGTTCCAGGCTTCTGGCCTCAAGAACTGCAAGAGAATACATTTCTTTTGTTTTAAGCCACACAGTTTATATTAGTTTGTTATAGCAGCCATAAAAAATTAATACACCCAGTTAAGGATGTTTCTGCCTGGTGAATATGTGGTGCTTTGAGAGAGACCTCTTGGGTAACTGTCAGAAGATGGGACTTTACTGATTACTCTCAGTGTACTGGACTAATAATCCACAGAGAGGAAATGAAAGAAATGAAAACATATGACCGCTTCAAGATGGCTGACTAGAGGCATTTTATGTTTGCCTCCTTCACTAAGAAGAACCAAAACAGAGAGGAGATAATCACACTTTGATTAGATTACCCAGGAGAGAGCACTGGAATTCAACAGAAAAGTGATAGGAAATACCCCAGGCAAAGAAGGAATCCTGAGATCTCTGTTTGGTAAGATTGGCTGGGAGCTGAGAGATGTTCCCAATACAGGAAAAGGGTAAATGAAAGACCCTGGTAGCCCACATTCCAAATGAAGACTCCTGAAATCCTAGCCGTGGGAGAGCCCCTTGACCCTCCCAAGGCCCTGAAATAAACATGGGGAGGTGCTGGTGAGACTGTGTGATGGCATACCTCAGGGAGGGAGCTTGCACCGGGTCCCGCACGTTTTCTGAAACCTAAGCAGCTTCAGCAAGTTGTCATTTTAGAGCACCGCCCCCAGTAGATTGCACACTGTCCTGCAGTCCAGGGGCCTGAGATGGCCCTTGGGGCTTAGGAGAGAAAGCTACCACACCAGGGGCTGAGGTGCAACCGAAGTGTTGACTACTGCTGTTGGGGCTGAGGAATGAGAAAGGTACCATTTATTTATTTATGAGTTGGAGTCTCGCTCTGTTGCCCAGGCTGGAGTGCCGTGGTATGATCTTGGCTCACTGCACCCTCCGCCTCCTGGGTTCGAGCAATTCTTCTGCCTCAGCTGGGATTACAGGTGCATGCCACGACACCCAGCAAATTTTTTGTATTTTTAGTAGAGACAGGGTTTCACCATGTTAGCCAGGATGATCTCGATCTCCTGACCTCATGATCCACCTGCTTTGGCCTCCCAAAGTGCTGGGATATCAGGCATGAGCCACCACGCCCGGCCGAGCAGGGTACCATTTACTCCAGCTGGGGTTGAGGTGCAAGCAGCACATGTGTTCCCCAGCCATCAGCCTAGGCTGCCCACCACTGAAGGCAGCATGCCCTCTCCAGTGGCAGAGCAGCAGTGCGGCCGCTGCCGCTCCTCACTTGAGCATTCTCCCGGTGGTCTAAAGATTGTCCTGCTCCTACCTACCACAGCTTTGCCTGCATTCAGGCCAGACAGCTTAAGGACAAGTCTGTCTGGCCTGGCTTAACCCCTACCTCTTGTGCCAGACAACATAGTCTGGGGGCCAGTAAATTGCCCAGCCTAGGCTACCAGCATTGGCACCTGAACGCTCCTCTCAGCTGCTATCACCATAGCTGACACATATCACCTGAAGGCCTGGAGACCAGCCTATGCAACCCATTGCAGCCACCACCAACACTGGTACAGACCATTTGGGACCAGAGGGTTGTCTCACCGCTACTATTGTCATTGTACATGTCACGCTGGCTGCCTAGGGGCCCAATAACCCATCCACTTGCCCAGCCCACTGCTGCTGCTACATGGGACCACTGCTGCTAGTACCCCAATAAGTCACCTGGTTGCCCAAAGGTTGCCCCTCCTGGCCCCACTGACACTGGAGCCAGAATACGCTTTCCTGCAGCCCAAACGGCAGACATGCTAAACCCACTGCTGCCACCACTGGGGCCCCAACTGTGACCTATCTTGTGTCCCAGTCATATACTGTCATGGGGCCCAAAGACAGAAATACTCAGGCCACTGCTGCTACCACTGGAACTCAAACTCTTATCTACTTGACTGTCCCACAATCCACCACAGCCTCCACTCATAACTGTACCCTATGCCACCGAGGAAATCACAGATACTACTCATGCTGTTTATAGCCAAAGAAATAATATAGCAACTAAATAAGGATGGTTCAACACATGCAAATCAATCATTGTGATGCATCGTATCAACAGAATGAAGGATGAAAATCATAGGATTATTTTAATTGGTGCTGAAAAAGCATTTGATAAAATCCAACATCCCTTCATAATAAAAACTCTAAAGACATTGGATATAGAAGAAACATACCTCAACATAATAAAAGCCATACAAGAGAGACACGTAGCTAGCATCATATTTAATAGGGAAAAACTGAAAGCCTTTTCCCTGAGATCTGGAATACCACAAGGATGCCCACTTTCACCACTGTTAATCAGCATAGTACTGGAAGTATTAGCTACAGCAATCAGAGAAGAGAAAGAAGTACAGGGCATCCAAATTGGAAAGGAAGAAGTCAAATGATCCCTGTATACAGATGATATGATCTTATATTTGGAAAAATCTAAAGACTCTACCAAAAACCTATTAGAATGGATAAACAAATTCAGTAGAGTTGCAGGATACAAATCAACATGTAAAAATCATTAGTATTTCTATATGCCAACAGCAAACAATCTGAAAAAGAAATCACGAAAGTATTCCAATTTATCGTAGTCACAAATACAATTAAATATCTAGGAATTAATCAAAGAAGTGAAATTTCTCTGCAATGAAAACTGTAAAACATTGGAGAAAGAAATTGAAGAGGACACACACACAAAAATAGAGATTTTGTGTTCATGCATTGGAATAAATAATATTGTTAAAGTGTCCATACTACCCAAATCAATCTAAAGCTTCAGTGCAATCCCTATCAACATATCAATGACATTCTTCACAGAAATAGAAAATACAATCCTAAAATTTATATGGAACCACAAAAGACCCGGAAGAGCCAAAGCTATCCTCAGCAAAAAGAACAAAACTGGAGAAATCACATTACTTAACTTCAAATAATACTATAGACTTACAGTAATCAAAACAGCATAGTGCTGGCATAAAAACAGACACGTAGACCAAATTCATACATCTAGAGTGAACTCATTTTTAACAAAAGTGCCAAGAAGGTACATTGGGGAAAGAATAGTCTCTTCAATAAATGCTGGTAGGAAAACTGAATACTCACATAGAGAAGAATGAAACTAAGGGAGAAGTTTATAATAATGAATGCCTACATCAATAAAGTAGAAAAATTTCAAATAATCTAATAATACATCTTAAGGAAATAGAAAAGCAAGAAAAAAATCCAAGCCCAAAATTAGCAGAAGGAAATGAATGATAAAGATTAGAGCAGAACTCAACAAAATGAAGACAAAATAAATAAATAAATAAAGCAACAACAACAACAAAAGCTACCCGCAACACATACCTGAAACAAATGATCAATGAAACAAAAAGTTGGTACTTGGAGAA